CGCGGCGCCCGCCGGGGGCGGCGCCCGGCGCCTCTTCGACTTCGCCGCCCCCCCGCTGGACGAGGCCTTCGAGGAGCCCCCCGAGTTCGCCAAGATCCTCCCCGACGGGCTGGCCACCATCATGAAGATGCTGGACGAGTCCATCCGGCAGGAGGACGAGCGCGGCGCCGCCTTCCCCGCCGCGCCGCCGCCGCCGCTGCCGCCATCACCGGCTGTGCCGCTGCTGCCGGGACCACCACCGCCGCCGCTACCACCGTCACCGGCTGTGCCGCTGCTGCCGGCACCGTCCCCCACTGTCCCCCTGCTGCCGGGGCCACCACCACCACCGCTGCCGCCGTCACCGGCTGTGCCGCTGCTGCCGGGGCCACCACCACCACCGCTACCGCCGTCACCCGCCGTCCCCCTGCTGCCGGGGCCACCACCACCACCGCTACCACCGTCACCGGCTGTGCCGCTGCTGCCGGCACCGTCCCCCGCCGTCCCCCTGCTGCCGGGACCACCACCACCGCCGCTACCACCGTCACCGGCTGTCCCCCTGCTACCGGGACCACCGCCGCTGGCACCGTCACCCGCCGTCCCCCTGTTACCAGGGCCGCCACCGCTACCGCCGTCACCGGCTGTGCCGCTGCTGCCGGGAGCACCGCCGCTGCCACCAGCACCCGCCACCCCGGTGCTGCCAGGGTCACCGCCCACCGTCCCGCTGCTGCCGGGGCCGCCGCTGCCGTCACCTGCTGTCCCCTTGTTACCGGGGCCACCACCGCCGCCGCCTGTTGTCTCCGCTGTCCCCATGTTACCGGGGCCACCGCCGCCTGTTGTCTCCACCGTCCCGCTGCTGCCGGGGCCACCAGCACCGCCAACCACCGTCCCCATGCTGCCGCCACCGCCGCCCGCTGTCCCCAAGCTCGCGGGGCCACCGCCACCAGCACCCACTGTCCCCCTGCTGCCACCACCGCCGCCACCCGCCGTCCCACTGCTGCCGGGACCACCGCCGCCGCCGACGACCGTCCCCACCATCGCACAGCTCCCGGGGCCGTCACCGCCACCACCACTGACTGTCCCAACCATCGCACAGCTCTCGGGGCCGTCACCGCCACCGCCGACTGTCCCCACCACGGCGCGGCTGCCAGGGCCGTCACCCCCGCCGCCGACTGTCCCCACCACGGCGCGGCCATCGGGGCCGTCCCCGC